TGAATTATCAGGATATCAACTGAATTTCAGCAATATATTTTATACTTCTAACAGAAATTCTTTATATATTTTCCATTCTGAGACCTTATTCAGATAACTAATGTTATTTCCAAAATAGTATGTTCCTATTAAGTAATATTTACTTAGCATAAAGGTTGTTGTATGCTACAAAAATGCATTTTACGTTATTATTTTTAAATGTAGACAGGCCCAGTAATCTGAATATCCCCTGTATGCAATATTTTTCAAACAAACATGGAAAATAAAGTAAAGATTTTCTGAGACATCTGTATTTATCTCAGTTTTGTTGCATGTCACAAGAGGTATGTGCAAAGAACCAGTACGTTTTCTTTGGTTTACAAACCACAGCCTGAAGTAGCATTTGGGTTTTAGCCATCAGCTTGTGAATTGGAACTCTTGGTATGAAATTAATCATCAGGTTTACTCCACAGAACTCTGAAGTACATTGAAGTAAAACCAAATTCTAGTGAAAGGTAGAGAAGACATTGACATCTGATTTTCTGATCAGGTAAGGTATAGGTAATAGCACTGCAGACTTCTCAGCTTCTACTGGTATGTCTCAACCATGATGTAAAGGAATAACTGCAATTTAATACTTCAGTTCTTCTATTAATAGTGCAGGAAAAGATGCTAGTCCCAATACAGACAGCTAAGGACAGGGAAAAAGATGAACCTCATGTTGCTTTTTCTTTAAAGGACACAAAGCAGCAAAGTGAGAGCAGAAGAACTGTCATACATATCAGTGTGGCAATTCAGACAACACATGCCTTACAGAATAGTACAGGCAGCTCTATGCAATAATCTACTGGAATTCCAGCATACTCAGTACTCCCTTCAACCTCTTGTTTGCTTCAGGTGAGTGACTACAGGATGTTTGCATTTGAGGCCATTTCTGTGAACAAAACAGACTTCACAGAAGTGGCTTTACATACTCCACTTTCTGAACTGGACTATGTCAATTTAAAAGTTGACTTAGACACTCTCAGACTGTACAGGTTAAAGTGTAGGCACCAGATGTGATAAAGTGCTGTAAATCCTGACTAAATTGAAAAGTATACCAATTGCAGACATTCTGCTAACTTTTTGTGTGAACCCCAGATTATATTAGACTGTTCTAACACAGCTAATTCAAAAGCAATAGCATTTTTCATGCCAAACTCATAGTGCATTTCTGCACCTGCTGGATATTACATGCTTTTTGCTAACTTTTGATGTTTCAGGGCTACAGAGCATGAGGGCAGCAGCAGCAGCAGCAAACCTTTGGTTTGCTTTATCATGTGATATTTCTCAATTACTGCTGTTCCATCCAATTCTTGTAGATACCAATTTTACCTTGTCTACAATACCCCTCCAATAATGAATTGTCTGAAGGAAAAAGTACAAACATAGCTGTTACACGACAAATACTAACCATAACCAATACAAACATCAGAACCAGGTTTTGCAATAAACAGGCTTAAAGGCCTTAATGCTGCTCTCTAAAATGGTAATACCACTTTAGTCTTGCCTACATAATAAGATTTAAACCACATTTTCTGCTTTAGAGCAGAACCATTTGCACTACAGATTACAAAACAAAAAGAATTTGTTTACAACACAAAGTCTAAAATAAGAAAATGATAACAATTGCTAATGAAACCTGTTCTTATCTCAAAAGCTGGTCTGGAGTCCAAAGACTACGCTGTGCCATTTGAGTCCTTTTTTTGGATAGGAGAAGGGTAAATCTAAAATTGTAATCCTCAAGCTCTCTGCTTTGAGACTAATACAAGAAACAGCTGATGTCAAAAGCATGACAGCTTAATACTTTACTCATGCAGATGCCCAGAAGTAATTTGGTTTTGCCTGGGTTCTGATTACTTTTAAGCCACATTAAGATCTACATGATTTTTTTCTGACCTTGCTTGGGACTTAATCTGTAGGTGTTCCCTTTTAAGCATACCAGCTGGATTAAGTTCTATACAAAACACTAACAGTCATTGTATTCTGGGGAGATATAAAAAAATATTATTTAAATAATAAAGAACTACTTCTTGCAACTGTATTATGTACAGATATTTTTATGTTCAGTAAGTCAGTGGTTAGATCACTCAGGGGACAGACAACCTGCACTAAAGATTTCCCTCCCAAATGAAACAGATTTGCAACAATAGCAGAACCCTTTATGAGGGCTATTCTTTCCCCTGTCTTAGGCAGAAGACAACACAGAAAGCACCTCTCCTCTTTCATTGTTACAGTAAAAGAATTTGCTACAAGTTTCTGTAACCACCTGATACCAGACAGCAAAAGGAATACTCTTGCAAAAAGGAGCTTTGTGCTAGAGCCCAGTTGTCCTGGTTGTGGCCAGGATAAGGCTAACTTTTGCAGCAGCCAGGAAGGCACACTAGGACCCTGGGGTTATTCTATACCACCTCATGTCCCGTGGAGGGGACAGGGGTACCCTTTGTTTGGTGCTGGGTCGGGTCAGGGTGTGGGATATGTGGATGAGCAGCGATGGATTCCTCGGGGTCAGCGATCACATGTGAGTCTTCAGCTGTTGCATGAAGTTCACTGCTTCCCCAGAGAACCTGACTCCTAGTATATCTCAGCTTGGCTGAACTGGGAAGGAGTGTTTCCTGGGCAACTACTGAAAACGCCTGCCAAGGACACTTCCTCTGCCACCTTCTATGGATTGGTGACCAATACTTAAGAGATCACCTTCACAAAAATATTAAATTCTCAATAGGTGATTGAAAACTTCTGAGAGTTGTGAACTGGATCTCTATTAAGGTACTTTAAAGAGGCTCATTTCTGCCTTGAAAATCTGTTGGCATTTTGGTGCTTCACTGTGTTGCTTTGCTGAGCCAATTGGACTTTAAAAAAACCTAAATTGCATTTTAACAAGAACTTCTTTCACTTCCCCTTGTACATCAGATCTTAAAAAATTAGCACTTAAAACTGCATTTTTCAAAGCTTGTTGAAGTGGCAGCCTGTAGGACTAAGAGACAAACTTCTCTATGGCTGCTCTTGAACTGCTCACATGATTAAAGCAATGATCAAGCAGCTCAGACCCAAAACTGAACATAAGATTTCTTCCCCCATCCCACTGTTTAAAACTGTACAAGGTGAAAGATGGAAAAGTGAGGACGGGGAAAAATTAGAGGAACTTAAGAGAAAGAATACAGCAGCAAATGCTCTAGATCTAGACAAAAGAAAATTGATTTGATGAAGGAATTGAGAGTCAGTTGTCTCCCCTGACAACTCTAGCATCAGGAGTATGTAAGAAATGAGGGTGGAGATGGTGAAGGAAAAGGGAAATGCAGACACAGAGTTCCTGTTGCTGCCTGAATTCTCTGGGGAGCATTCATGCCCAGAAAGGGCTAGTGACAAGTTCAGATATCTGAGATTTCTGCAGATGCTTTGCTGTTCTGAGGATTCTGATAGTGTCTTTTTTAGATATCTAAGTATAGATTATAGAGCTAAACTTTCATCAGTCATGTTTGGCTTTTATTGACCTGGGAGAGTTTTCAAACAGAAAAAAGCTACCAGACCATTATCAAACTTGTGTCTCCCACCATGGGAAGATGGGGGAATGGCGAAAAATAAAAAAATTAGCTGTACCTGAACTATTTGCCTTCATCTATTTGTGTCTTTGTTTTGTTAATCAGAGCGCCCTGACTTAATAATTAAGCTTTCCTTATATCATTGGTGCATAAAAGGTGAAAGTTTTATACACAGCATATTAGCAAAGCCTGGGATTTTGGGAATAAAATAACACCTGCCAGATGTGACATGCTATTTAAAAATCCTAACTGAGCAAGGAAAAAGTGCTTGCTTCTCATCAGAACAGGGAAGTTAATAAGACTTCACAAGAATATAGGAGATTTCATTTCAATGAATCCCTTGATTTTTGGGTTACATTCATGTCCATCAACAATTAACTAGTACCAACACATACCCATGTCAGATTGACAGTGAAACATCTTGTAAGATTAAAACCTGATATTTTTACTGAAAGTATTAACCTACGCCTCTGATATTTCTGAAATACAAATTCCAATGTCTCATTACACTGCTGCAATCAAAGACTGGTGGTATAAAAGCAGGCTGTTAGCTACTTATGGAAGACAAATTTCCATTGCAGCTGTAAGCCATAACGTCTCTACAATATCACAGAGGAAAGTGTGCTGCCTGTTATACTGATTTCTGAAAGGAACCTTTGAAACCATCTGCTTAAGAACAGGCATGCTAGATACTACTCAGCTAAGAGCATATGAGTTTGGTAACCAGAGGAAAGAAAATATCCACTGAGCACATTTAGGAAGAAGCACCATCATTTCATGGCAATTGCAGACTTCAGTTTCTCCAAGCAAAAAAAAAAAAAATTATTAAGAAAACAGCACCAACATTTGAATTTATCAAGACAGAATCTGCAATGCCAGCTTCATGTTTTTTCTTGTGAAACTACAAAGCTAATGCTTGCCTTCCTTTGAAATCAGAAGTGTTTAGTACAGTGCTTTGGGCACACCATTTCCACAAATCAATCCAAATCCATTTAAAATACATTCTGTTAAGTGCTTTTATGGAAGGCAGAGGAGCTAAACCACTAGGAAAGCATCTTTCCTTCCTTACCCATAAACAATAAAAGCTACCAAACTGAAGGCAAACTTGAAGTTATTTTCAGGATTTCACATTTCTCCTCCTGCTTAAGTAGCTTCTTCTCATCAAAATCCTTAGAGCTCTATTTCACAATAAAATTCGCATGCAACAGACACTCATAAGTCTGTAACAAAGAAACTATTAAAACTGGAGGTTAAAATGCTGCATTTTACTTCCTTACACTGTGAGCACAGATGCTTCCAATGACTTTTTTAAATGTTTGGCATAAATCTGTAGGAACAGCTTATGGGTAAGTCCAATTTACCTGTACAGCTTCAGATCAATTCCTGTGTAGTCTGCACATCCAGAGAACTAGTATTTATGATAAAGGTGGACATACTAACCTGCCAAGGCCGATCCCAATCAAGAGGAATAGGAAATGCTCCAAACCAAGCTCCAAGTATACTGCATATGCTAGTAATCTGTAGACTGCTTTCCCAGATGGACATAGCTCTGTAAAAACAGTGTGTTACAAGTTTTCAATAGCAGCAAAAGTTTCCATGTCAGAATGTTAGATCTGATTTCTCCTGAGATTTTTGAGGCTACAAACGGAATACAAAAATTCATATATTTGATAAACAGCATGTAAGTTTCTCCTGAAACATAAAAACTACATATAAAAAGTAAATTGCATATTTTCGCTATAATTACAATCTTTCTATATCTTTTTCTTGAGATGTTTCCTGCAAAATCTAACTTAATTTACCTGGAAATACTCCTATTGAGCTTGAAACACTGCTTGACTGAGCAAATAAATCTGTCTCAACGATCCTGTATGCATTGCAGGGAGAGACAGACATGAATGGGGAGTATGGGATTGTGCAGAAAAGCTCAGAGTACCTTACGGTGTAGACATGCTGCTATTATTTGACAACTGTGACAATTTGAAATTTAAAACAGAAGTCCACTCTGAGAATATTCCAAAGCAAATTTCCATCGGCTGAAAAGAAACACTGCAAATAAGTGTAACCTGCACACTGCAGCCCTTCAGCAACAGTGAATCCAAGGTCAAGTACACTAGCTGCAAGATAAATTTACTGCACACTAAAGAACTCTTGCACTGTCAATCATGGCACACATCATATTATAAGGGACATTAAATGACTTCAGTTCTCAGTTTATAGCCTTCTAGCACTACTGACTTCAAAAGTTTGGGAAAAGTTGGATTTCTGTTTAATAGATGAGCACTCACTGTCATCAGTCTACCAAGTGATTGCTTTGGTTTGCTCTGCTCAAGCCATGAACATTTCAATATTGGTACTCATTAAGAAACAAGAACAGCAGAAGTTCAGAACACAGTAGGGCACAATTCTGAGACAGGAACACCAGGTGAAATCTTTGCTTCAAATCAGTAAAGTAGGAGATCCAAATCTTAAGTGTGCTACATCCCAGATTATGAACAGACACATAGCTTTAGCTAACAGATAAAAAAAGATGTGCGTTTTTACAGCTCAAAGACTAGATGGATAGTAAACTCTGAACCTTGCATGTAGTGTTTATGTTACATGACATGAACACATTTAGAAGAGTCTAAAATTTCTCACTTTACTTCTGAGTACACCTAACTCATTGCTGCATTTGCTGCTGACCGAACAGCTCACAAATGTAAAGCCAGCGTTTTTACTGCTTGCAAAATAAAGGTCTTACAGACTACAATACTGACAGTGCAAGGCTGACATTTTGAGCAGAACTCTTTCTTTTACAACCCCATCCCTTTAACTTACAGCTCTTCAGCTCACAATCATACCAGCCTAAGATTTTTTTTTCTTCAAGGGAAAGGTCCTGATGTAACTGCAAAACTGTTCAGGAGTCTGCACACAGAAAATTCTTGTAAATTATTTGCAGAAGCTGAATAACTGAGTAGAGAGCTGTTAGGCAGCATGGGGAAAAGAACATTCACTGCAGCCTTAAAGCAGCAAAAGAGCCAGCAGAATATACTGAGGACTGACTGAGGTACATTTATACCCCACGAGACATCTTATGTGTGTAGTAGATTGTAACCAGATACTGCTGTACCATATGGAGATGTCAGACTGAGTCCAAAAGCAAAACAACAGAATTAGCAAGGCACAGTGCCCAAGTGAAAAACAGCCATGGGTAGTTTGGCAACTGTTTAAGCTGCTAATTCAACTGCTCTGCAGCATGGACAGTGGCTACCCAAAGACAACCTGACTTGTCCCCCAGCATTATCCTGAAGGAACCAATGCTTTGATTCTCTCGTTTTCTTCACAGAATGTCACCTTTTGGGATTTTTGCAGGTATTCTTTAACCCACCACATGAACCTCTAATTTGCATGACACTAACAACTGCAGCAACATTTATAAACTTAAGAGTTTTACAAGTTTTTTAGTTTTTAATTACAAATAAACTACATTTACAAAGGAGATTTCAAGTCTGTGACAGTATGCAGTTCACAAAGTGATAAAATGGGTGTAATAAAAACTGGAAGAAGCCCTGAAGTCATGGTTTTGTAATATTTTTTGGCAATCTCCAAATAAAAACTTTCCTACCCAGGTGGCATCTTATAATTGCTTTTATACCAGAAATTTCAACACAATTTCTCAGACCAGTGACTTGAAACAAAGAGTTTCCAAAAGGAGCAAACTCAAATCAGAAATTGAAAGCTGATTTCTTAAAGACTTTCATGCAGGAGAACAGCCAACAGTTACTGAAACACTAACAATGTTTCGCATTTAACAACAGTCACAATGTTTCAGCCAACAGTTACTGAAAAGCCATTTATAAATAATCATCACCTGCTTCCATTAGTGCTGATAACCCTTTCTGTAGTTTTACTTCCCTCTAACTGCTCACAGCAGCACATGACAGCATATCAGTGCCATGACATTGGTTACAACACTAGATGTCAGAACAAGGAGTCCAGAGATGTTGGCATGGACCCACTCCTCCCAAATGCACAATTGGTGAAAAGAGCCCTATTCACAGCCTACTAAGAATGGAAATTTTTATGATATAGCATACACAGGCTTCCTTTTCTCACACATTCTATATGCACATAGACTGTAAATATGAGGGTAAGAACAAATGGTCCAAATTTCTTAAAGTAGAAAAAAATAAATCTATTTGCTCCATCAAACTGACATTTCCAATTCAAAAGTGTACTCGGTTTGGAAACTTGGAGCATGTGCAATTTTCTCTCTGAGCTACAACTGTGTTTCATGCAATTGTTTCATGTATACCAAAAAAACCACCCAAAAAACACCTCCCCTCCACTCCACCAACAAGCCAAACTATTATACTACAAATAATAAACCTGCAGTGTCTCATTGTCATGAGACAGCACATATAATCCACCTCCTAGAGACATGGGCACTCAAAGACTGATCTTGTAGTAACCCTATTAGAAGTGATTTTACTAGCAGTGACTCACTCTCAAGTGCTACAAGTAGGAACAGAGAGAGCTAAGCATGTCTACAGAAAAAAAATAAGCACTTTACAAGATTATCCCCAAAATACTTAAGTTGGACTGACTCAGTTATACCACAGCCATTATGATGCAATAGGTTGCATACAAGTCACTTGAATGTAACTTTACAATAGTCCTGTGACAAAACATTCCATCCATCAGTATTTTCACACTAGACTACCTTAAACAGCAGAAAACCATCCAGAGCAACAGCTAGGCAATTAGTATCTGTTACTTATTTACACTAAATAGATCAAGATAGGCTTTCTTTTTCTAGATGTCTTTTGCTGTCTTTCTGCAATGACAATAGCACAAGCACATTTTGATCTTATAAATACAGCACAGGCAAATAAGAGTAACAAAAATAAATGCCAGTAGTTACTTAAATCTAAATTGTATTCAGGTACTTTTAAAACCCATTCCTTTTTTATACTAAGCTATACTCTTAATCAGGCTTTTGAGCTTGATGCTCCAGTGCAATTCTATTCCCTAAACTTTGTTCAAGGCAACCAGCTGTATTGATCTTATCTAACCATCCTTTTCCTCCATTTAACCAGTCTCACCTCATTCCACATGGTTAAGTTAGAGACAGCCTTCTAATACATCATGTCTACACTCATCTCATGCCTAGACACAAAAATATTCCAACTCATTCATGAGGTCAAATGAAAAAACACAGGATTATTTTTAAAAGAGCTGCTTGCTACAACCCATAAAAAAATCTGCTACAGTATTTCTTTGCAGTCTATTTCCATTCAAAGGCTAGTCTAAACAAATATCATTATTAATAGACATTTTATTCAGATAATGTCACATGGCTCACAGGTGAGAAGTACCTACAAGTTTTCACAGCAAAAATGTCAAAACAACTGTGATCTTTGAGGTCTCCTCCAACCTGGTTGATTCTATGATTCTATGACTCTGTACAATAATTGTGCTGAAATAACATTAAGATCTAGACTGGGAAAGAAAGAAATTACCAACCATTCAAAATCTAACTGGGCACAAAGACAGACTGAGGTCCAACATCTGTTAGTTCAATTCAACTATTACTTCCAGTTACAAAACTTCCAAAGATGACTAAGTGAACCAGCAAGGATGTGTTTTGGCTAAACAACTCCATGCTTTTATTACAGCCTGTTCAACCCTGCCACTGAAAATAAGCAAGCAAAAATGACTTGAATAAGGATTCAAGACATTGTTCAGGAAGCTGATAACTGAGATAAACCAAAAGTCAACACCTGAAAGTACTATGAGAAGTCTAGTCTTGTCCTCCTCTATAAGAGTGCAAACCAAAAATAATTCCATAGGTCAGCAGTGCAAGACAAATTTTCACTTCCTTTTGAGATGAGACTTCACCCTATGAACTATTAAAAGGGAATGAATACTAACATCTTATTAAATCTCAAGCATATGTGGAGCCTCCTTATCTTTCAGTCTCCCAGTCTTTCAACAATCCTAGTATTTATTGAATGGAAAAAAGCAGAAGAGATAGAACGCTTCTGAAAAATACAGTATCCTTGATGCATGCTAATGCTGTGGCTGTCACTGAGGTGAAAGTGTGGTTATAAGGTTCATTTTACTTTAAACATATTCTTGAAAAAATTCTTTTCTTTATGACATATTCCACTATATATTATTTACACCAATTCTGTCCATTTCTATTCGGGGTAAAAATCAGAAACTTACCCATTTTTACTAAATACCCGTATCCAGGCCTGTATGTTTGGTCCCAACATGCACAAGCACTGTAAAGTAGTAAACGTAGACAGGAGAACTGCAAACAAAAATGTCTCAGTCACTGACCTACAAAGAAAGAATGTTACAATATTAAGTGAGGTAGTTACTAATTTCCTAAGAGTTTCAAGATTTAAGGAGATGAACACACCAACCCTCTAAGTCCATCAGTAAAAGCGTGTGCTTTCTTACATCTCATGTAGAAGAGTATTTTCTTCTTACTCTGTAGAATACTAAAGAAAGTTGGAAAGAGTTCCTCTGTTTATCTCAAGAATGAGATGCAGTAATTATTTTCAATGCCTCATACCTGTAACATTTTTTCAAAACCACAGTGTACCTCATATAGATCTTCAGTGCAAAATCAAAGTATACTTGGATATTTACTTCATTATCCCATGTACTTTTCTAGCTTGTTGCTGTGAAAGCAACCATGAAACCAAACTACATGATGCCATTATTAGCCAGGAACTTCGCATACCTCTCAAAACATCAGGCTGCTTCATGCCTCTTTTTTTTTTTCCCCCTAAAAAATTTCCTAAAAGTTAAAACACCAATATCAAAAGGATGAGAGATATGCAAGATGCATGGTTTAGAACCTTAGGGGAAAAATGGCTAAATGGAATACTGAAAAGTGTTTGTGCCCATACATTTAACTTAAATATTAAAGTAAAAGGAGTTTTTTGTAACAAAACCAAACCCAACCAACCAACTAAACAAGCACCCACCCTTCTTCTCCCAGCCAGGAGGGTACCAAAAACTATACAAGTACTTATACCAACATCTGCAAGGAGAACTGCCCTTTAGAATGTTTAGAGAAAGAGAGGGTCTTCTGACTTACTCTATGAGAGGTGCTCCATAAAGAACAATAATCGCATGAAATAGTATGCAAGACATGAAAAAGTATATACAGCATTTTAGAAATCTGGATATCTAAAAAAGAGCAATAAAGTGTCAGGATAATGCTTCAAAAGAGAACACAAGTTACATACACAGCCTAGATCTTATCAACAGCATTGTACTCTAATTACTTCTTTCATTTCAGCTACAGCACAGTATAATGTCATGGCACATTTCAGATCAGTTTTCCATGTGTTTAAATAATTAATTTAACATGATCACACTCCATCTAAAACTTTTTTCATGAACCCTATTATAACAAGGCAAACATACAAAAAGATATAACCAAAAATGACAAGATAAACAGAGATAATTTTATTGGATATTTTTACATTTGTTTTACATCTGACTCTCATGTCCATTCATAAAACACCAACTCTCACAGAAAATGGAAAAATATTTTAAAGCAAGAAAATATGCAATACAAAAAAAGCTTTCAACACTCAGAATCAAAGTTACATTAAAGAAAAAATCCTACATTTTGAATTTGGCACCTTATATTTGAGACATGACCATGACTTTTCTATAAATCTGCAAAAGACATACTTTTCTATGAACTTAAACAACATTTTCTGGGTACTCACTACATGATATAGAAGCATACAAAGCTGGTAAACAGTTCTGGTTAGGTCTGCTCTGATCAGGTCACCAATGCAAATCCATAGTTTCCCCTGAACCCTTTTTTTTCTGTTTTTTCCTTATGCTAGGCTGGGATGAAATCTCACCTAGAACATGAAGCATGCTTCATTTTTAAATCACAGGTGACTAAAATACTTCTTTTCCACAATGGTTTTAAGCATTTCACATCCTCCTTTGCATACAAAGATACTGCTTTTCAGGATGTTTGCTTAAATGTTTAAGAATCACCACATCAGAGCTACATCTTGTCTGACCCAGCAGGTTAGGAATGTGAGACTATCCACCTGACTTGAAAACTCTGGTGTATTCCCTTACTCCTAAGCAAGTTGTGTATTGCTCCAAATTCACTCTCTTCAAACCTATTTCACATTGGGATTCATACCTTTACTGCTCCCTGTTACAAACAAACTACAAAAAAAAATCCTCCCAGATTTAGATTCTTCTGTATGCAAACTTAATCATTCAAGGAAATGTAGCATTTTAATACCTTTCCACATCACTTTTAAAACTTCACTAAATTTGTTTAAATTGTAATGTGCTATTCTCTCTTTTATCTCTCTTTCTAAAAAATTACTGTTCTTCCTTTGAAGTTATTAGAAACTTATAACTACACATGAGAAATATTGATGACGTTTCCTTTTGAGTATATCTACTAATCAAGATTAGTCAGGTCTGGACTATGAAAGGAGTTCTGTGCCCATTCAATTTTTGCCACCATGCAAACTGTAGTTAGATCAGTGGCTGGGACTGCAAACAATGCATGGACAGGAAAAAGGGAAGCACAGAATCACTCACCTGAATAAGTTATTTACTGGTAGAGAAAGTTTAACACCATGAAAACACTGAAAAGCTTGTTTCAACAGGTGCTACACTCAGCTCATTCGTGGAAAATGACAATTCACCACCAAAAATCATCTTCTTCCTTTCTCATCTGATTATTTCTGAGAGTTTGCTTCCCCTCTGTATTGCCTGGTAGCGATTGAAGAATAATTAAAAAGAAAAATCTTACCTTGTGAGAAAACGAACTTCTTTTAGGAGACTGATTTGGTTTAAGGACTAAGTGCAAGATTACATTAAGGCTACCAACACAAACAGAGCAAACACAGAGCCACGTGAGGTGCGATCCCAGAACCGAGAATCCCTTGAGGAAGAACCCCGGCAGCACGGCGGTCAGGGCGGCGCAGGAGGCGCAGAGCAGGTTGGGCAAGCAGCCCCCCGGATTCCCCCTCCTTCATGCTGCTCCCAACAGCACCTGCAACACACCGACACACAGCGCCTCAGCACCGGCACGGGCAGCGAGGCGCGCCGAGCTCGGCTGGGGCGGACAGCGGGGCAGGAGGGGTGTGTTACTCGCGCGGAGAAATCAACCCTGAGGCGGCGGGCAC